AAGAATAAATGTGAGGAAAAGTGGCCCTTGCCCAGCACCACAGGGAAGCAGCAAGAGCCACAGCCTCCACCTCACAGAGATGTGTTTCTGCACACACCTGTATTTTCCTCACATACAGTCTTCTGATGACAGAAGGGACTGAAGAAGCTGATAAGACTGACTGTGTGCAAAGAGCTGATGTGTCAGCCTGTGCTTGTTCAGGACCTGTGTGATTGAGGCCCCAATTACAGTAAGCTCCCAAATGTATTTGAAATCCTGTATTCACCTCAGTATGTGCTTACACCAGGTGCTAAACTAGAAACAAATGCTCAAATTATATTCACTTCAGCAGGATATAAGCAAGAGCTTCAACTCAAATGTGGGTGTACATCCTAACTTAAACAATGATTCTTTCCTGAAGCAGGATGTAAACACTGACCCATATAAACAGTATAAAACATTTAATCATCAAAAATCCTTCTTGGTGGTGCCGTGTGATTGCAAGCAGGCTTTCTCTGCTTGAAGGCTTTGTCTGTAATCTACATGTCCTGTAGAAACAAAGCTAAGCTGACTTTAGGAAATGTTCAGACACTGGAAGAGGTTAATTGATGCTTTTGTTTTTCGCCAAACCAGACAGCTTTCTTTTTTAAAAAAGCTATTTTATACTTTTCCCATTATACTCTCTTTTGCCCCCCTTTTTCTCTTATTAATAAGGTCTGGCCCTCTTTAACATGCAACAAGAGCCTAATGAGCCATGCAGCCTTCTGTAATTTCTTCACTGTTCAAAATGCCTGACACTAATCTATGCCATTTATACTAATAAGAAGTGCATCAGCTGATCTTTGGTGCAATGGAAACATTTTAAATATACTCCATTGAATTGCAGGTAGCATTTTCTCACAGAGTTTATGCTACTGTTGAAATTGGTGCCCTGCAAGTACTGCAGAGTTGTGTGTGCTGCACAGTACACAGAGAACACAGTACTGCACAGTACAAACAGTGGAAAAAAATCTGATGTCCAGTAATATATTAGCTTTATATTTCATGTAAGCTTGTCAAAGAGATGCTGCAGGAAAAAAATATCCTCCAGGCTTTTTTTGCACTTTATATTTGCAGTTTACAATAATAATTAAGAGATGACCTAAAATATGATGTCACATTTTATACTAAGTGGACATTAATTAAGGCTAAATTACAGGAGAACTCATCAGGAGTTTATGCTTTACATATATACCCATTGCACAACAATTCAGCATTATTAATGATGTTCCAGTGAATAATGAGGATTTACATGTGGAAAAATGGGGGAAGAGGACATGTATTCCTTAGAATTGGCTTTTCTCCTGTTCTTAATTGTGAGCTTTGCGTGTGCATTTCTCCACTGTCTCATCAATAGCACTTAACTCTGACAGAGCTCCACTAATTCCAGCTGCAGAAGTGCTGGTGTAGCTACAACAGACGAAGGGTATTAGTGAGGCAAGGATCTTTGGGAGGGGCAGTGTATCTTATTAGAGAAGCAGATGCAGCTGGAAAAAGTGGACAAGATTTGGGCACACAATATTTTTCTCAGTTTTGAATCAAAGGCTGCAAATGACTTTCCATGTCATGCTTGAAGAAAGGCTCTGTGCCTGAAACTTTTCCACTTACATTGGTCATTCTAATAAAACACAGTCTCTTTCCTTTCAAATTTCTCTTTATACACATACTTTAGAAGGGTGGAAAGTATTATTACTTCTGCTTCAAAGATGCTGAAACAGAGAAGCTGGGGTGAACTGGACTGAAATCCAGATGTGGTGATTACCCAGGTGAGAGAAATCCAGGTTCCTTCCTCTGCCTGCTCTGCTTCCTGCTACGTGAAGACAAAAACATCCAAGAGAGAGGACTGCAATGACTCACATTTCTGAAGATGCACCCTGAGCACACAGTTACCCTGTGATTTTGGAAATATAAATTCATACCTCCAATTTAATAGCAAATACAAGAATGCACTGTGGTATCCTAATTAAGTGTCCTCCTATCTGCCACATGGTGGAAATAGAGCTGATGACTCCCTAGACGCTGCGCATTCACTCTTTTAGAGAAAGAATGAATAAAGGAAGGGAATAACCAGCCTGGGAAAATGGGCATGGCATAAAGATCCCAACCCCAGCAGCACATGGATCAGGTGGTCCGGCTGTGAGGGATGCCATAAGGTGGTCCTCAGCTAGATTTAGAAACTAGGGGGGGATCTTTTTATCTGAGCAGCATGTGACCTGTTACTGATACTGGTGTCAAGGTATCCCTCCTATTTTAGCAAATCTTGTCTAGAGGTCACCTCTCCCAGACACACTATTGGCCTTTTAAATTCTTTTGTCTATCTCTGTCAAGAGAGGTGTGAAGGGGCATCCCAACACCAATGTCAAGGACATATCACAAGGCACATCTCCTGAGCTGAGTGGCAAAGGAGGGCTTTGAAGCTCGTTGACTGGGAGGTTGTGAGGCTTGGTGTTGTCCGTCATAACTGGACAAAAGAAAAAAAACCCTATAATTTTGCTGAATAAGGCCCCTGGCATCTCCAGGCCATGTTTCCCTTCCAACAGCACCTGCAGTTTTAGTGGAACCTGTGTGAAGCTGTGTAGTGGCTGCTGCAGGGTCTCCTGCTTAAACGTCTTTCTGATGAAGCAGTGTCACTCGAAACACAAGTGTAGATGTTCTTCCACCTCAGACAGAAGCTCTGTGGGTGTTTTCAATTTCTACTTATGGGAAAAGTCAGGTCTTGTACATACTTCCTTCCAAGTGGTCCTGGGGAAGGAAATTTGAAGAAACTGTTATGCAGTGGGGAATAAAAGGCCTTCCTTTATTGTTGGTTGTCATATGGAGTGTTTACAAAACTAAACATACTCATGTATGTAATTTATGGAAAAGTGTTAATAATAGCTTTTTCTGCTTCTTTGTTGTCCTGTCACTCTGCTGTTTTGTGCCCATTTTCTCTGTAAGGTAACCATCATAACCATGGCAATGATCTTCCTCTGGAAAACTCTAGGTGCACTTTTAATTTATAACCAAACACGTGTATTAATTATTTTAATTTCATATTTTTGCCCTTCTCCCAGTCCAGAGGAAGGTGGCAGTGTTCAGGGAAATTAAAATGGTTATATTGTAAGGCCTGCATTATTGTTTGTTTGTCCTTTGTATTTTACACCTTAAGCACAGATTTTTTGCATGCTTTTAGTCCTCTGCCATATCTGCATGACAGAGTTCCCCCAGTGCCCAGGTCACCAGTGAGGGAGCAGCCACAGCAAAGGGCTGGCCACCTCTTTGCCAGCAGCACTGGCTCATGTGGCCAGCTCAGAGAAGTTGACCTCTGTGTCCCTCACATCAGACAGAAGGATAGCAGCACGTGCAGGTGAGAAGCTGGCTGGAAGGAAACTCAGCTCCCCACTTGCCACAGTGCTCCAAGCTGCTGATGTTTTCCACTCAGTGCATTCCCTTAAATATTCAAGGTGGTCATAGCAATCTGTGTTGTAATGACCCCTCTCCTATCACTGGGCTTTTCTGGCATTCTGGCAGCAATCTTGCTATTTTGCTGGCTCTGAGTAAATGGTTATTCAACCCCTCTTTCCTTCCCCAGACCCAGAGAAATGGTCTTTGATTTAAACCCTCAGCGTTTGCAGCACTGGGTGCAGATTGAATTGTGGGCTGTCTGGATCTGTAACTCATCCCCCGGACAATTACTGGACATGCACATCCCAGCACCTCTCTCCTCTTAACCTTCAGCAGCCTAAGTGTGTTAACTCCCCAAAGATTATCAGCCTGTCTGAAGGTGTGATTGAAATGAGCTCTGCTCCTCTCAAGAAGGCAGTGCCCTAGCTTGCTAAATCATCGGCTCTAATCTTGAGCACTTAAGCAAAAACAAACAAAATAATCTTCTAGGAAACACTAATAGCGCAATGTCAATACTCACATCATGTGTGTCAACTGCCCTATTAATTATTATCATTACCTGCCTTCATAAATTGAGTGCAACTGCAGTTCTAGCACTGTGGGAAACCAGCATTAATTGGGAAAAGATCTACAGAAGCATCCCTCTGTATTTTCATGTTTTCCCTCTCTCCCTGCATGCTCCTGCAACACAAAATGTACTTTCTAACCTCCTCTACCTTACATGCATGTGTGTAGACACGCATATATTTTGTGGGCACATGTATAGGCTCTTTGCATGTATAGGCTCTAATGTAGTTGAGTACAGCATCTTCTTCCTAAGGAGTTTTTTTTGCAAATGTTGCTACAAATTCTTAGCCTGTTGTTGAAGTAAGTGCAGCCATACACTCCACAAGGATATGTCTTATGCCCTGTGTCTTGACATTTTCCCACAGATGTTGGCTAATGTGGTTGTAGAAGGTTCACCCTGGATGCAGTGAGCCCAATAAATCTTCCTCTTAAATGCAGACACTCAACCATCCCAGCATCATATACCTATAATACATTTTAATTACTTGGCTATTCAAATTCTACTAAATTAGATCTACGCGGAGCTGCATTGTGTATTTCTCAATTTACATTTAATCCATGGCAAACAAAATAAAAAAAAATTGCAAGCACACTTTTTATTGGGACTTGCAGGAGCTACTGAAGTCTGATACCTTTAAAATTATTAAGTGACAAAGATTACTAGCACTAAGGTTATACTTTGCTTCCCCATTAGCCATTTAGGTGACAGCTGCTGTATTACACATAAAGATGAACCATTCCTTAAGGGATGATAGTGGTTCCGCTGTGACACTACTGGCATAAAGCATTATCAGACCATAGCTGTGCTTAGAGCCATCACAGTCTCCTAGGCACCTATCAGTACCCTCATTATCTGCATCACAGAGTGTCTAGAAAGAACACTGCCAGGCTTCACAGCTTTGCAGCTCATTTGAGAAGCGGAAATTAAACATCCCAGGAGAAAAAACAGGCACATTGTAACAGCACCAATGCTGTACACACATAACATGTTGACTGCTGTTGCGCTGACTTCTGTCTCATTAATTTAATAGGCTCCTGGACTGGGGATGGGGAGGTGGAGAGGCAGCCTTCACAAGCAGATTACTGAGCAGGGCTCTCGGCGCTGATTGCAAATCCAGATTGGAGAACTTACTCTGAGCACCGCCACACTTCAGATGTCTGTCCACACTTCCGCAGCTGCCATGCGGTGAAATAAACCAGTCAGAGGCAGAAAAATGAGTGCATCATACATTAGATTATCCTGAACCCTTGTGTGAAGCAAAGCAGCACAGGTGCCTTTTCAGCAGTGACTGTAGCTGCGTGCCTGTGTGAGGGTTAATATGAGTGTGTTTAAAGGGGAGTGCTGCATTCAGACAGGGTTGTGACAGCAGGAGCAATCCTGCAGCAGCTCAGTGTGGCTCTGCTCTTCAAAAGGAGCTGGTTTTCTTCCTTTGTCTGTAAAAGTAACATTCACTCATGTGGTGATGTCCAGCAAAAATCACAGCACACACCAAGGCTTCCATAGGATCTGAGTAGAGCATACATCTTCCCATGGCCAAGGGTGACTCTCCCTGAATCAATACATTTAAGCAGCTCTCACTTAAACTGAGGCCACTGAGTGCATGTCAGGGAAGAAAAATGGACATGGGCATCCATTCTATTTCCTTGCCAAATTTTACATCCAATAGCACCTGAAGGAACTTAGGGACATAAATGTTTTCTATTTCATTCTAATGAGTTACTGCAGGTGATCTCATGCACTTCTGTACATTTAAATTGATAAAAACATTATAGAAGATGTCAGTGGAAGCTGAACTGTTCTGCAAATATATGCATTGTGAGAGATGTTCATTAAAGTGATCTCACTGTCAACAGGGTTGTTGGGTGTGTGTGTATCTCTGCCCTCTCTTTATTTGTATGTATGGGTGACAAAAGAGAAGATAAAAAGAAAGTGAACTGATTTTTACAGTCTCTGCAAAGCAACTTCACCCATCATACATCACCCATCTGAATTCTTCAGACCCCATTGTTCTCTTAGGTTGTTTAGAGATTACCCAAATGCTCCGGAGGTCATGGTCAAATATGGGACATGAAAAGGAGCCTACAGAATGTATGCATAGAATCAGAATTATTAAAATTGTGAAAGAACTTTAAGGTCATGGCGATTTTTTTCCTGGATCATATAACAAAAAATGCGGAGGCTGCATTACCTAAAAGCACATACAAACAAGTGACAGTACAAAGAGCAGGTGGGAACCTTGTTTTGAAGGCTCTGTGGATTAAACTGTAAAAGGATTTGCACTTGGTGGGTCTATTAAAAAAGAGACATATACACATAGACAGCATCTCAAACACATCCCCACCACTTGGAAATGTTTTAGGTCCTTGCATCCATATACCTTTTTGAGAATTGTGCCAATAAAAAGGGAATCCTCCTTAAGTGTCTCACCTGACATCCAAACAGGTATGTTAAGATTTTTGAAACTGTGGAAATGAACAAGAATAAGTATTCTGGGGAAAAAAAAAAAATCAGTATTTTCCCTCAACAACTGATTACTCGGAAGATTTTTTCAATCAAATTTTATAGCAATTACTGACATTTGCTTGCTTGAGATTTGATCTGGCTTAAAGAAGCAAACATACATTGTGGTTTTATTCACAGGTTCTTGTCCATGCACTTTTTATGATAACTAGTGTACTTTCAGCTGCTTCTACGTTGCTCCTGCATTAATCTTTCAGGCTGATATTCCCCAGGTATCTTTTGACAAGGGCAAGGGTCTTGAGTGGTTGGGGCTGGGACACTGGTTGGAAACATTTCCATTACCTAACCATTAAAAACATACTTGCAGATGCTCATCAGGTTTAAACATCTAAATTCAATGTTTACAGTCTCATTTTTGACCGTGACCAGATCCCTCATGGTGATGCCTGATTCAGGTGGAAAGGAAACCTTGGGGCAGCAGTACCAGAGACTCCCCAGCCCTTCTGGCAGCCCCCCAGCCTGGCTTGCAGCCCTGGCACCTGATACTCTGCCCATCTGCCCCTTCAGCACAGAACACCTGCACCACCCTGATGCCAGGGAGCAACAAGCCATGTCAGTCAGGTACTAAACTGTGGTGGCTTCTAAGGCCTCCAACAGCTTTACCCTGCTGAAGTCTTTGATTCCAAAACTTCAGGGTTAGCCTGAAACCTGCCATCTTTACAGACAATATCTCCATGTCCAGAACACACTCCACAGCCTTTTTATTGTAAGATGAAGAGCAGAAAAATCCTCTTATTCACATGTGGAGTCTGGAAAAGCTTGTAAGTCCAGTAATCAATGTTCATCCTGTTGACCCTTTGTGCTTTAGAATTTAGCAAAGGAATGTGAGCTGGGGAAAGGTACAGGTTTGTGAAATAATACTCCTTTTCTAGACAAAAGGAAACAAGTTGTTCTATACTCATAAGCACGGATGTTGGAATTATAATGTTAAATTGTCAATAGGTGGTCCTATTTCAGTCCAAAATATGGCAAGAAACATTTGTTTCAGCACACGCAATGTTACCTTACATTCTTATCTTTTTTTATTCTGCTGTGTCTCTCCTCCCATCAGATGATTTTGGACAATGCACACCAAGGCTACCATGTGTGTAATACTGTCTAGGAATCTATGTCCCCATGGTAGACCAAGGTTTTGGGGCAAGTCTACAGCTAAAGGCCTCATTGCATATACCTCTCCAGCTTCCAAACCATGCCTCTGCTTAGAGTCACAAGTCATTAGCCATTTGGTGGGACTGGGATGTAAGGTATTGCAAATCACTAATTCATGCCTTAAATTTTTTATTGCTTATCCTTGGAAGAACCAATGCATTTAAGGCAGGCCCAGAAACGCTTGTTTTCTCTGCAAGCATTTCAAACTCCAGAGAAGTCAGAAGACTTAAGGATTTTGGAAAGAGGGGATAAAGATTTACATAAATCAGACATATTCCTGTATGCCTTTAAGGTATGCTGGCATCTGATTTGAGGCGCACAAGCTTCAGTGCAGACCAATCCCTACTTATTTAAGTGGTGATACAGACCATGTACACAAGTGCAACTGAAGGATTCTTTTATTTTGAAACTGTTCTGAGTCAAACCCTGGTAGAAACCATGTAGAGATTAAAATGAATTTATTGCCCCTCCATTAATTTCCAGTGACAGACCCATTCCTTTCCATTCTGGCTTGGTTTAGTTAACAAGGTACTAAGTTTAAAAAGCCCATCTCAGAGGTAACTGAAGTCATGTCTTCTTGCTCTTGGGGCTTTAGACCCCCAAGGAGATGGACCATTATTTTGCCCACATGACCCAAAGAGACCTGATAGAGGTTCTTGCAGAACTTAAAATTGAAAATAATTTAGTCAATCTATTTATACGAACTGCACTTTGCTAGCCTAACCAACTAGAACATGATCTGCCTAACCTATTCTGAATAGCTTATTCAGAATACAATCTCCATTTTGCATCACTTGCACTAAAAGCAGAAAATTTACTTTACCTATTTTTGCTTCTCTCACCTGGAGCCCCAGATATTGTTTTTCTTTTTTTTTTATCTCCCCTGGCTCAATGAAATGGCTCTCTCTCTGAAAAAATGTATGCTGTATGAATCAGAATATCTGGTGGCAAAATTAATGTTTTTTTCAGTTTATAGTATTTTTATTAATGCTGCCTAATTAACTGATTTTAGAACAACATATAAACATACACTTTTTTAAAATCCCAAAACAAAATGCACACACACAAAAAAGCCAAACTACATACAAATCTTTCAGCAATGGGAAGAAAATACAAAAAAAACCCAACAAACTTTACAGTCATCTCTTGTTTGCTGGATTCTTCCAGACTCACAGCTGCTAGAATGCCTTCTGCCAGCTGACTGAAGAGTTTGATGTGATAACAAAAGAGCTTCCCTGAAAAAGCCAAAAATATGTCTGTAGCACAGCAGCTGACCAGCTCAGCAGCACGGGTCACTGCAAGCACAAAATGCCTGCTTCTCTATTCATTCCTCTAGCTCCTGACTAATGCTGAGTCAAGTTGAAGGGCACAGACCATATTCCGACCATTCATCACCATTGCTGCAACCATTTCTGAACCATTTCTGAACCATTTCTGGCCCTTGGTTTTGCAGGAAAGCCCAGGCAGTAGATTCTGTGGGTCACACATAGTTCTCTTGAAATTAAACACCAAAATCTGAATGCTTAGAGCCACTGTAGAGGACTCCTGAATGTGGTCCTGAGTCCTGTGAAAGGTCTTTGGTGACCTGGGGCTCAGGGACCTCTCTTTGCAGGGATGCCGTGGCTGGCTTCATTCTGACAAGTCACAGACAGGCATCCCACCAGCAAGAGCTGTTTTGTTGAGGTCCAAGACCTAAACACACACCCCCAGCCCCACTTTCCCCTGCTGTGTAAGCCAGAATTTATGAGAGACAGTGGGAAAAGCATCTTGATTGACAACCCCCTCAGGGAAGGAGAAGAGAGCTGTCTCGTACCAGCAGTGAGTCATCCTGGTTAGATTATTTTCCCCTCCTAAAAGGCTAAAGATACTTCAGTGATGTAAACTCAGGCTGAGAAAACATTTAGGATGATGATGAAGATGGTTTTAAGCCTTCAGCACTGGCCAAATGCATTAATTTTTTGAGCAGTCAAGAGAGAAGTAATGGGAAGGGTGGTCCCTTGGGTGACTGTCCCTACTCGGGGTCTCCTGTCACCCCATCACAGCCCCATGCCAGGGACCAAAACATGCAGAGTCAGTGCAGGGCACACAAAGGAGAGCCACACAGAGGCTAAGAGAGACGCAGTGTGGATTGTAAAAAAAAATTATGCCCCAATAATAGAGAAACACACAGACCTTTGGTTCGGTTCACAGGCTGCAGTGCTCTAATATAATTATCCTGATTTATTTCAAGGAAAGGGTCACTTTATGAAGCGACTGTGTCTAAACTTTGTTCAGATAAAAGGCCTTTAACAAAAGGCAGGCTTTGGGAAAACAAGCAAAACTCAGGCTGTGCACTCAGTAAGCACATTTTCTAGTTTTCAGTCAAGAAGTCATTGGCAGTGTC